GCTGCAGTACGTCACCGAGTCGCTGGCCTACTTGGTGAGCGGCAACATGGACTGCGGCGCGCAGGACTACCACCTCGAGGCCGCCATCTCCAAGGTACGTCCCGAGTGCGAGTGCTCATTTCGCTTTTCAATAATTCTATTGAAGGAGTAGCATTTTTCATCTCCACTTCTATTACCAATTGTTTATGTATGCCTTTGCATGTCATTATTGAACGGTCTAATGTATGTGATAACATGAACGCGCGTTGCACGTCGCACCTCGCGCATACAACCGGCGCAGGTGTTCGCATCCGACTCGGCGTGGGCCGTGGTGGACGAGGCCATCCAGGTGCTGGGCGGCATGGGCTTCATGAAGTCTGCGGGCCTGGAGCGCGTGCTGCGCGACCTCCGCATCTTCCGCATCTTCGAGGGTACCAACGACATCCTGCGCCTCTTCGTCGCGCTCACCGGTACGCCCCGCCCCCACCAGCCCTCGCCCCGCCCCCACCAGCCCTCGCCCCCGTTTGTGGCTGTGCAGGCATCCAGTTCGCGGGCTCGCACCTGCAGGAGCTGCAGCGCGCCTTCAAGAACCCCACCGCCAACCTGGGCCTCATCTTCAGCGAGGCGGGGCGGCGCGCTGGGCGCGCAGTGGGCCTGGCGCCCGCCGCCACGCTGGAGCCGCACGTGGCGCCCGCGCTGGCGCCGGCCGCGCGCGAGCTGGTGCGCGCCTCCGCCCACGTGGGCGCCGTGGTCGAGCTGGCGCTGCGCAAGTACGGGCGCCGGGTGGTCGACGAGCAGCTGCTGCTGAACCGGCTGGCGGCCGCCGCCATCGACGCCTACACCACGGCCGCGGTGCTGTCGCGGGCGTCGCGCGCCCACCGCCTGGCGCTGCCCAGCGCGCCGCACGAGGTACGCCGGTAGATGCGGCGATCTCTCGGGCGAGAAGGTGGTAGCGTTGTGAGGAATACATTGTGTGCGTGTGTGTGTGTGTGTGTGCAGGTGGCGATGGCGGAGGCGTGGGCGGAGGAGGCGACGCAGCGCATGGCGGCGCTGCCGGCGGCGCTGGAGGAGCGCGCGCTGAGGCGGGGGGCGCGGCTGTGCGCGCTCGGCCGCGCGGTCAGCGACGCGCCGGGCTGCCTCACGCGCTCGCCGCTCAACCTCTGATCTCCCTCCTCCCACTCCCGCTCCTCCTACCTCTTACCTCTAGCATCATTATATCTATGACTGTCGCTGTAGGAAATAATTATTTGAAAATATATTTTGGTAATTGTAACAACCGCTTTATTGTTACGTAAAGATTAAACTAGAATGTAATATAATCGCCCGACATGTTTGCAATAATAAATATATTTTTAAAGAAGAGCTGTTTTCTTAGTACTAAGTATTTGTCCTGTTATTTAAACATGATGGAGGAGGAGGATGCGGCCGCAGACTGATTTGATGCTGATATCTTACAACTAATCATGTATATATTGAAGAGCGTGGGTGAGGTGAAGCCACCTCGCCGCACGCCACACTCCAATCTTTACCCTTTTGAGAAAGCACCTCCCCATCGCACTTGATTCTTTTCTTTATTATACCAGAACCAAAAAAGTAACGTTACATCATCAGATAGATTTGTTTCGGTTCTCATTTTACTCCAATGATTAAGGGGGGGGAGGGGTTACTAATGGTTAAGGGTACGGATTTCCGATCACGCGGTCGAGAGTTCGAATCTGACTCGATCATTTGATTATTGTCATAAACCGTATCCGAGCACGAGCCTAGAGCTCGCTCGGAGTGGTACAAGGAATATCAGTAAATTAACATTCATCTACCAATATTTAAAAAAAATGTTGTTTATTTTAATATTACATACAGTTTATTATATAGACTAAAGAATACTATAGATAACTTTTATTTACACTAGTACATTTAACGAGAACATGTCGGAGGCGACATGTCACACGTCCACGTGCAGGCTGGCGTCCCAGGCGCGCGCGTTCACCTGCCGCAGCGAGGACCGCAGCGCGCTCGCCGGACCCAGCACCAGCGTCAGCGGCTGCGGCTCGGACCTCGGCCGCGCGTACAGCGCGTGCAGCGTCTGCTCCCACCGCACCGGCGCGCACGTCAGCCGCACCAGCGCGCGCCGCACCTGCCCCGCCTCGCGCATTGCGCGCGCCTCCACGCACGACACCACCGGCACGCGCGGCGCCCGCACCTGCCGCGGACGTCACTCTAAATGCACACGCTCGTGACCCACTCACAAACATAAAAGCGGTAGAGTCCCAAAATATTGTCGGCCGCCGCAAGTGTCGGATCCGGAGTGTCGTCCTCACCTGTATGTGACGCAGCGCCTCGCGCACCGCGTCCTCCGCGGCGGCCATCAGCGGCGTGTGGAAGGCGCCGGCCACGCGCACCCGCGCCGCGCGCTTCACGCCCCACGCGCGCCCCTGCGACTCCAGCCACGCTAGCGCCGCCTCGTCCCCCGCCACCACCTTGCAGCCCGGGTACAGGTAGTTGGCCACCGCGCACACCGGCCGGTGCACGCCGCGCTCCGCCGCGTGGTCGCGTGCACGCGCCAGCGCCTCTCCCAGCCGCGCGTCCGCCGCCAGCCACACGGTCAGCATTCCGCCCGCGCGCGCCGCCGCCGCCGCCTGCATGGCCGCCGCGCGCAGCTCCGCCAGCCGCAGCGCTCGCTCGAAGGGCAGCGCGCCCGCGAACACCAACGCGCCGATCTCGCCCAGCGAGAAGCCGGCGGCGGCGCGCGCTCGTTCCACGGCGGCCGGCCGCTCGTCGCGCGCGCGCTCCAGCGCCGCCAGCGAGGTCACCAGCACGGCCACCTGGCAGCGGCGCTGCAGCTCCTCCTCGGGGCCCTCCGTGCACACGCGCCGCACGTCCCACCTGCAGTATTTGCACAGTGCATTTGTTGTTTGATTTATTTTATAATTTTCAAATGTGTATTTAATGTCTTTAATAACTTAATTATGATATTTATTGTTACTTTGGTAGGAAATAGGACGAAACATAATAAGAAATTAAAATCAGTAATCTTATGTCGATGAATGAAGATGGGTATACAGGATGTCCCAAAATTCAAAACAACTCTGAAAAGTATTTAATTTTAGTTCTAATTTTTTTTTGAGAATATTATCATAGTGTTGAAGCATTTTAAAATCTTGATGAGTTGCGCGTACTTTTTTAATTTAGTGACATGGTTCTCTTCATACATTTTTTTACACAGTAGCATGTCAAAGTTGGTCAAAAGTTAAAATGTTCTTAAATTAATTAATCAAAGTTAATTATTTTTTTTGCTTAAATTTCGAATGTTTTGGTCCAATTTTTAACTTCAATTAATAGCTATGTTACTTAGGTAGCTAAAACAAAAAAAATTGCAGGAATATCTTCATATTTGTAGCCACAGTGTCTAATCATATGGTGGAGGGTATCAAATTATAGGAAAAGTTACAAAAGTTAATGTAACTTTTAAACAAAAAGAGATGGATTTTTTTTTAGTATTTTTCCCGGTGTAGTTATCGAGCTGGCTATACGACATTTCCATTTTATCGTTGAATATTGAGACATGCTTTATATTTATTATTTACTAGCTGTTGCCTGTGACTCTGTCCTTGTGCAATTAAGAAAAAAAATAATTGATAACCTATGTGTCCTTCCATACCAACATGTACCTGTACATCAATGCCAAATTACAGCTATATTCAAGCAGCCTTTCTGGAGATACCTTCAAACAAACATCCATCCATTCATCTAAACATTTACATTTATAATGTAACTAGATGTTGCCTGCGACTCGCTCCGCGCACAATGATAAAAGACTTTATTAGTTGCCCATGTGTTCTTCCAGGCAATATCCGAAATCTATGCTAAATTTCAGCGAGATTCATAAATCCGTTCTCAAGATACAATCAAACATCCATCCTTCATCTTAACATTTGCATTTGTAGTATGAGTAAGAGTTATTCTTACACAAAATAAATATGTTTCTCTTAGACCAACCCGACTACAGAAGAAGCAAGCTCGTAAAGATCGCGGGCGGCCGGCAAATCCAGTAACTTTTTGCCCATGCCGACGAACTGCGAGCCCTGTCCCGGAAAGAGTAGCACACTAGTCTCTCGCGGATCTACGCGTGTCGGCATCTCCTCGACGGTCTGGAGCCTCGCGTAGGGCTCTGTAGCCCAACGCAGCTCAGGCTCCGGGTTTGAAACATCTCCAAATGTGCTGGCCTCGTTCACAAGCTTTTTAAGCGGACTACCATCATCACGAGTGGATTTTAATCTTCTCGTACGTGAGTTTATCGTGACCGTGCGAATGCCTTGCACGCGGCGTAATAACGACTTCATTGATAATACGTATATATCTATAAATACGTAAATATCACTTAAAACAATCTGATGTCCATTTTCTTGGAACGTAATCACAACATAGGTTATCCGAAAAAAAACAAGTCTTTCAAACTTCAACTTCAAAGACATGTGCATAGCAAAGAGTATATAATACAATGACTACTATTTGCTGATTACAGTGTTTCCTATTTTAAATGTAATGTTAAGCTAACATGTTATTTTGTAATGCCTTACCCAAAATGTAACAACATACTATATATACTCTTTGTAGCCCATGGGTGTAAAAATATAAATTCCATGGCCGATTTTTTATTTCATGAAATTGTTGTTGCCAATAGAAGAAAATAGCTTTCTAGTTCGACGAACATGGCGAGGTTATCTATTATTCTGGGGACTCCATAGTGTAAAATTAGAATGGATGATCTCTATATCAGAGGAATGTTTGGGTTTTACCACATAGATTCAGATGCATGCAGATGTAGTGTAGGATTATCTGCAATAGGTACCTCGATTTACAGTTTATCTGTCCATCTCGTCCCGTGTCACTGTCATCTTGTCAACTGTCATATTTACGGACAGATTGTAGAATGCACCTATGGTATTATAATATGTGATTTAAATTATTTAGGTATTCATAACTAACATTATTTCTTTTTGACTAAAAGAATAAATATTAACTGAAAATATTGTTTGTTTTAAAATATTATAAGACCAGTGGAACCATTGTTTTATCAAGAAGTTAATACGTTTGTGAAACTCTAATTCCTAAAGGAAAAAGGTGTGCAACAACATACTATATGGACTCTAACATTTAAGATTATATTTTAAGATAACATTCGATAAGCTGTAGGCGATTATAACATGATTAAGTGCAAAGCGACGCAAAATATAGGCAGATACTTAACTTTGTAGTCTTGACTGCAATATTGGTACATAAACACTTGCACTTGTGATCAATACATTTGTGCTTGATTAAAACATCACAGAGCTATAGTTCACATTAAGGTGACGAGCCAAAGGCTATATTTACGTTTTAACAGGTTTTGCAATTATGTGAACACAACTAATCATAATACATTTATTTAATTTGCAGCAGAATGGCCCGTGGTCAGCAAAAAATCCAGTCTCAAGCAAAGGCTGCAGAAAAGTTGTCTAAAATGAAAAAACAGCAAGGACACAGTGCCACCGATCAGAAAAAGGCAGCACAAAAAGCTCTTGTGCATATTTGTGTCATTTGCAAGGTGTGTTTTTGTATCATTTGTTTTATTCACACCCAAGTTTATAGTGACTATAGCATGTTTGTACAGTGAAAATTTAACTGCCCCACAGTTTGTACAAACCAAAACCATTGCTTATAGGTCAATGCTAGTCAAATAGGACTGCCTTATGAAAAATTAGCTGTGCCTGCAACATTGAACACATGAAATTCTTGATCAGACTGATTATTTTACTTAAACTTATAAAACAAAACATACTTACAAATTATTCTCATAATCTTAATAAACTTCCATTTAAAGTTATATTAACATTTCCTAAATATTATTTTTCACCTTTGAGATTTTTTTTTTACAAAATTTGTCATATTTGTATTTATCAAATTAATAGTTTCAAAATTGTAACAGAAAAAATGATGATACTTCCATACAACTTTCCACCACCACTTTCAACTCACTTACTTCACTTTTTACAATAAAACATATGTTATGTTCTTTCTCAGGCTCTAGAGTATCTTTGTAATAGATTTTATTTTAATTACTTCAGTATTTTGTCATGAAAGCAAGGATAATTTCTCACAATTGTCCTGTTGTCTGCCAAATATAAAATTAAGTGTACTCTTCAATAGTAAATAACCAATCATCGGGTGGCTTACTCAAGTAAAAGGCAGTAGCATTTGTAGCACAAAAAGGCAAGACAATGCAAAGAAAGATTAATCCATATTAGTTGTGGCTATTTTCAATATTCTCCACCTTCAAATACATTTTAATTGTTTATTTTTTATTATTAAAGATTTTAGAATACCACATTACTATTCACATGAGTGCCTAAAATATGAAAACAGAGGATTATCAAATTCCATACATGGCAGTGTGTACTAAAAGTATATATAATAAATGAATGTAGGAAGTAGCAGGTTTATATCACAAGATATTGTTATTACTTATTGCAATGCAACAACTGCTGTAGTTGCTTGATTTTATTGTTGAAATTGCAGGCGCAGATGCCGGATCCCAAAACCTATAAACAGCATTTTGAAAACAAACATCCCAAGAATGATTTACCTGAAGATTTGAAAACTATCTAACATATCCATAAGTTTATATTTTTTAATGTAATTCCATAACGGGAAATTGTTAAATTGAGCGTTCTATCTTGCATTTGTTCAATATGTATTTTCATTAAAGGAGTTATTCTGTATTAAAGTTTTTTTGCAATAAAGGACAATGCACTCCGGATTATATGGCTTGTGTCACTTTCATTATTATTCATCATAACGAAATATATATAATACTATAGTCGTATCAAACCTTTATTTGAATAATCTTTATACTTACTTACATTTGAACTGAATCAGAAAAGAGGCCAAATAATCATGTTATTAATCAAACATAATGTGTTTTAGCAATCTAGTGAAAAGTTTCATATGAAGTATTTTACACTATCAGAACAGAAATTGTTACATAATATATATATTAGTATTTCAAGACTCCTTAGTTCACAAAGTATACAAGCGCAGCTCGACCGACAGCGACCCGCACTCGCTCTCGACTCCACTTCACCTTACTCACTTTTAACATTCTAGTGTCTGGTATTTGCTGTTGTTTTTGACATAAGTTACATTTGGTGGAGGGGAGGGGGGGGGATGTTCGGCGTCACATCTTCTCGTAGGTCTGCGTGTGGCCACAGTCGGCGCAGACGCGCGTGTACTGGTCGGTCTCGGCGTCGTAGCTCTCCTCGCCGTAGCGGTGGTCGTGCTGCGCGTGCGTGCCGTCGTACAGACTGGAGCGCACGGCCATGCGCAGCGCGGTGAGGCGGCGGCGCGCGGCGGCGGTCTGCGCGCGCTCCCGGCGCTGCTCGCGCGCGGCGCGCTCCTGCAGCAGCCGCTCCTCGGAGCCCCACACGAGCAGCGCGCGCTCCTCCACCTGCGCGCGCAGGTAGAGGCGCATCTCCGCGTAGTGCGTGCGGTGCGGGTTGCGGCGGCGCACGCAGCGCAGCGCCGGCGGCCGCAGGTCAAGGTCGCAGTCCTTCAGCAGGAACTCGCTCTTGGCCTCGGTGCGCGTCACCAGCTCGTGCGCTCCCTCATCGTCCCTTTTAAATGCATCTTTTTCTTTTAGTGCCCATCATATCGGCCATGCGCTTTTGATGAAATTATTGTTAAAGCTAAAATATTTTATATAAGTCATTAAAAAATGTATTATCTGAATGAGGATAATAAAATTATAATATTATAGTTTCGCACTTCCCCTTATCTATCTATCTATGTTTCATCGAAAGGTTTTTGTGGGGTGATGCTACAAGTTAATAATGGGCAGGCATGGGCACCTGCAGTCGTCGCACACGCTGAAGTCGAAGGTGTCGAACAGGTAGGACTGCGGGAACAGCTGCTGGCACTCCTTGCAGCGCGGCTGCTGCGAGGCGTGCACCAACGGCGCGGCCCTGCCCCCCGACCCCACACTCGCCTCCGCGCTCTCCGCTTCCACCAAGAAACCTCCTCCAGTATCAACAGCTCGCTTTTTCCCTACATAGATTTGTTTTGCGCCTTCCAAAGCGTTACTTCTGAAACAAACAAGGAAACAAATAGTTTCCTATCCCGTTTAACCTATATCATAAAGTGTTCTGAAAGAAATGTACATGGTTTACTTCTTTTTATATCATTAAGGTGGCAAAAGAGGGAGCGGCTGTAGATCTGCATATGCAAATGTCGTCTACCTTCAAGCGACGATGGAGGCAGCTCACAGAAAGTGGACGTTTTCCCGTGGTATGCGCCCCGGCATCAATTGAATGTTCTACTTGTTATAAATTAGAGAAATGTTATGAGTATGATCCAGCATAGCACATACTGTGATCGAGTGACGAGACGCGCCTCGTGGAGGGCCCGCGCGTGCAGTCTGTTCCGCTCGATGCGCGCCCGCTGCGCCGCGCTCAGCTCGACTGCGCTCGGCTCCTGGCTCGTCATTGCGCCTCTCGGGTACCAGAAGCAGGTCACCTACCTCAGCTTTTTCTGGTTACAGACATTCATTTTACATTAATTCACATTATCTTACCAAGTAGTGACGTGACAGCCTCCACTGAACTTTCCGCTTTTACAATAAGGTCAACAATTTTATTTCAAGATGTGTCAAATAATGATAAAAACTCAATCACACTCAAGGGCACATTGAACCGGCCACCTACATATTGTTGATTTCTTTAAAATTCTATCGCAATTTAATAAATTGTGTTATAATGCATTTAATGTTGGGTGAACCTTTACGAAAACAAATGATTCATGTGTAAGTAGCGAAGTGGTTTAATTTAGACGAAAAAAAATTAGGAATATGCAGCTTTCTTAACAACAAAAACTAATAACATTTTAATAATAAAAAGTATGCTATAAATTACCGCAATAATAACGTGTATTTTCTCCTCTTGCCCTAATGACCTCTTGTAAACGATTCGAAAGCCCATCCAGTATGTCTTGGATATCACTTTATGGAACGTTCTCCCCCTCCTCAACGGCTGCAGTTTTTAGCTCATCGATGGTCGAAGGAGCTGGTGTAGACTCCAAATCGGTTGTACATTAATTGCTCTATTGGGTTCAGCTCCGGACTCCGAGCTGGCCATGGTAAACGCTGGATATTGACGCCGTCCAAGAATCCAGAGCCATTTTTTTTTCTCGCGGTGTGTGCACAAGTGTTGTCGTGCCAATGAATGGCGCAAACGGCATCACATGTGGTTCTAGGAATTTTGTGACGTACCTGTCAGCATTAACGCTGCATCTATCGACGACGACCAACTCTGTACGAGCGTCATAACAAATGCCACCCCACACCCACGTAACCCAATGTTTTAACTACAGCACATTCAGCAAACCTTTCACCGCGGCGTCTATACACACGCTGAGCTCCTTCTGGACCTCGTAAACCGATTCTTCATTTATCACAGAAGAGAACTACGAGACTCAAAAGCTGTCGTGAACCGATTATGAAGAATGTTGGAGACAACATTACAGTCATCTCTTACTGGTTTACACCTTTTAGGACCTTGCCTAGGCTTCCTTGTGCATCCCGAACCTGCATTGCGCGGTGTCGTCTTTGAGGAGCGCCTACGGGTGCAGCGCCCCATTGGGGGCGCACTGAGGGGCCCTATTTTCGGGCTGATCAGTGGGGCGTCGCGGTGGTAAGTTAACTCGATCCCGTGGCGTCCCACATTATGGCTATAAGGGAACAAGGGTTTAGTGGGTATGCTCCCATTTGGGGAAAGAATCCCACATGACTACCGAGCCTTCCCCGAGGCATGAAGCATGCCTAAAGCATTCCCCTCTGAAACAAAAAGAAGGCCTCCTTGTTTAGGAAGCAGTCTCTCTGTATCGCCGGATAGCATCTTGGATAGAGGTTCCTGGATATCCAAGGATTTGTCCGATCCGACAGTGGCTAAACCCAGCATCTGCAAGTGCCACAGCTCTGGCTGCACCAGCTGCGTCCAATGGTTTTTTTTTTTTTTAAATATGATAACAGACCACCAACACCTTGGATTTATTCAAATAAAAGGCTTACGAATAGTTTTGAAACAAGCGTATGCTTAACTTAGACCAAGTGCAGAGACTGTAAAATTTTGACTAAGCTGATTATTTTTAAATAAAAACAGAAAAAGTAAACAAAACAAGGGTATGACTTTCTAGTATTTAAAGTGCAAGTTAATATAAATGAATGATATGGAATTTGAAATGAGTGGACGGTTAAATGTGCCCCTGAGTGTAGTTTAAGATAATTTAAGATAAAGTGAGAGTTTAAGATAATGCCATTGTAACAAGGTCACTAAATCAAAACTACAAAAACCTTGAGAAAAAATTGACAGTGATATTTCAGTAGGTAATTTACTTTGTTTAGGATTTACTTCCAAAAGTATCCAGTGGTATACATATTAGGGAAACATACATCTGTGTGTTCCTTATGAGCTTTACACTTCAGTAATAAACTATAAAAATTATATCCTTAAATAGAATATAATTTTTATTGTTATCATCCATAGCTAAAAGTGTTATTCGGTAATGTAAAACAAAACATTGTCTATTATTCAAAATTATGAAAATATGGCATACCACCATACGGTGTGGACCTAAAAGAAGAATTGTAAATATTAAGAAAAGTGTAATGTATAGCTATGATAATTAATCACTCTGCTTCAGCAATCATTGTCCTCTCTACTACTCCGACTGATAGGTGGCTTTGTGTGAGTGTTTTGGGTGAGAGAAAAGTGTTACATTTAAATATTCATACAAAAAAAAATTATAGTTTAGACTCTCACTCTCACATAATGGAAAAGGTGTTAAAAATGTTAGTGTGTAGGGTATGATCATTACCATATAACATATCTTACCTCTCTTGACTTAATTTGCGGTAGTAAGCTTTATTCATCTAAGTACTTAGTCCATAAAGACTTTCAATTCTTCATATAACTTAACATTTAAACTATTTCCTTAAATAAACTGCAATCATCCATGAATTCATTGATGGAAGCACAATACCTATCCATTATCATTTATACTTATTTCAGTTTAGTCACATCACAACATTTGTTTTAATGTCAATAGGTGGATGTGCGGGTAAATCAGAAACGATTTACTGTACTTACAATTTCATTCAAGTAGCACACTGCTTAAGATAAACGGCTTTTTATATATGTACTCATTAACTTACACAATTTAATTACTTGATATATATTGTACTTTTTTTTTTGCATGACATCATAGATTAGCCGTCAGTCCGACAGAGATTGTTGTTCATTAGGGAGTTTTTTTTCTTTTTTTTTTTGACATTGACACATTAATAGAGGGGCGCGGGATTGCGTATCGCACAAAAAAAACACTAACTAGGGAAGATCCGACAGATCTCAACCATGATATGGTTGTGGACCACATAAAACAAAAACAAATTTATAGCAGCTCTTATAGAAATTAATTGAAAATAAACTACTGAAACAGATGCTACAACTAATAGGCTAACATTTCCCATATAAATTACTAACAGAAAGTATTAATTTACAAAGCCATGGCTGATATTAAAGTAACAGGCGCGGAACTTGTTAAAAATTGTTAGTTTCTTGTCGCTTTTTTTAAGACAGCCTTTTTTTTTATTGTTGATATTTGGTCACTTATTTAAGTTTTTAGTGTTTTGTTATTAATATAACTGATAGAATAGATTTTAGCTTGTATTTAGGGGATATTACTTCGGTATCATTTTCTTAAGGCTTAAAATATGGTGAGCCATATCTGTCTGTAAATTCGTACTGTGTACAGTTATGGCCATTACACATCGTTGGTAACTAGTGCTACTCTAATAAGACTATTCTATGGCGATGTGTGTGTAGGGACCAATAGTGATAGTTGTGTATGTGTGACAGCAACAGCGAGTACCGCATCGCGGGCATAATCGATTTAATCGACGTGCAGGAGTCGTACTACGTGTTTGAGCTGGCCGTCGCCATGACCTACCTCATGCTGCTGCCATGACCTACAAAAATTCGAAAAAAAAAAAAA